TAACCTTAGCCAGAAGAAGCCCTAGAAACAAAGTGGGTCAACAGTTCGAACCCACCAGTCACTATTTGGGGGGATTAAAAAATGAAGTTTTCTACTTTTATAAAGAGTTAGCCTTGGGAAAAAAAAGAGTTAGTCTTGGGACCCCACAGGGGCAGTTCTATCTTGTTCTACGGGGTTGCTATGAGTCAGAAACCACTCAATGGCAGTGAGAAGATCCTTGCCAAGCGTCGACTAGTAAAACTTCTCTCCTGGTGTATTTAGGAAATCACCCCTGTACTGATGTGGGGGAGGAGATCCTGGTAACCTTCTCAAATCCAAGAATCATTTCTATAGCCAAGGAAGGTTAAAATGGCTTCAATTAAATGATTCAAATGTTTGCATTTGGGAATAATGCCACAAATGATTCCTGTTATATTATTGGGTTATGAGTGAGGCTTTCAGTGTATAATGTATGTTTCCTTCCCCTATATACAGGGGAAATGCCTATTTCTGATGTTTAAAGCTAAGTTCTCCTAGTCTTTGCCTGTCGTCACAAGTGTTCCCTTTCTCTTTTCCACTTCCAAAAACGAATGTAAGTTTTTCACCTAAAATAGTAGAATAAAGTTTTTGATGTATTCTGAGTCCTAGAAAACAGGCCCTATTTTGACAGAACCCCAGTTGCATAATTCATTCTTCACAAAATTACATAATTCAAACTCATTATTTAACAGCTTCCATATTTTAGTGGTATCTTTTTTGGTATATTTTCTTCCATAGCAACATGCATTTCTCTGAAGTAAGATGTATCAAAGACTTTTCTTTGCATATTAAACTACCAAGAAAGGAAAGGGCTGGAAACTTGGTTAACAATAGGCACTGAGAACCTTCTAGCACAGCCACCATGCATTCCATGGTTAATAGTCAGTTTTGAGGGATTACCGGGATCCAGGTCATGTTTTAGGCACTAAAGATATAGTGGAATAATAGTTCTAAGTTTATGTAGCCCAAGTTCAAATCATTGCTGTATGCATATAATTTTCTGTCAAGGTGATCTGTTTTGTTTAACTTTTCAGTGTCTCAGCTTATCCAACTACAAAATAGAGCAACAGTATATGTGATTCTCCTAGCCAAGATCCGCCCTCTAAACCCAAAGCCACTGCCATTTAGTGGTCTCTCATAGTGACCCTGTAGGTCAGAGTGGAACTCCTTATCCGGCTCCCAAGTCTGTAAATCTTTCCTGACGCAGACTGCCACAGCTTTCTCCCTCAGAGTGGCGGAGTTCAAATCACAGCCCAAACATTTTGGCTGGCAACTGAGAGCTTTAGCACTCCCCTTAGCCCTTTCCCATCAAAACCCACTGCCATTGAGTTGATTCCTACGGGACAAAAAGGGTGTGAAACTGTCCCTATGGGTTTCGAAGACTTTAAAAATCTTTATGGGAACAGCCAGACTCATCTTTATCCTATGGTGACTGGTGGGTTTTTACTTCTGATCTTGGGCTTAACAGTTCAACAGCCCACGAGGGCTCTTTCCCAACTTTGTTAAGAAGGTTAACTGCCACCCTGTTGTGGTAGTTACATAAATTCATGTCAACTTAAAGATATATAAAAGGTTAGGGGTGGTATTCAACCTGTCAATCAAGTCACAGCCTGGTGGTGCCTCCTTGTGGATGTGGCCTTCTCATAAGAAGGGGTCTGGGAACATTCCCTTCTCTCTCTGCCTTCACCTTCCTATTGGCTGAGCCTGATTGCTGCCAGAGCCCTGTGATGAATTCACCATCAAGGGAGCCACACGACTCCATACCTGACAACCTGTGCTCTTGTTGCATTCGGCACCATTGCTTGTGACTGTGTGAGTCTGAAGAGGGACTTATGGACTAGGACTGGACTTATGGGCTTGAGTTGGACTGGGCTGGGGTGTCTTCTTGATATATGACTACTTCTTGATAGAAAGCTCTTTCGTACACATATCGGAGTGCCACTGGATTGTTTTCTGTAGTCAACCCGGCCTAACACACCTGTCCAGCACCACCTTCCCAATCATTGCTATGTTTCAGCCCCTTGCTGCAATCACTGTGCAATCTATTTTGTTGAAGGTCTTTCTCCCCCCCCCCTGCTTTTTTTTTTTTTGCTGATCTGTTCCTTTATTGAGCATGATATCCTTTTCTAGAGACTAGTCCTTCTGATAACACATCTAAAATACTAGAGATGTGATTTTACTGCTCCCAAAGCAGACTTATCCATTCTTCCGGTAGTCCATGGTGCGTTCTCCCTAAACACTGTGCATCGGTCCTTCTTCAGCCTTCCTTAGCCCATAGCCAACGTTCACAGGTGCATGAGGTGACTGAAATATCATGACTTGGGTTACGTATACCTTATTCCCCAGGGTGACAATTTTTGCTTTTGAATGCTTTGAAGAGATCTTTTGAGGCAGGTTTCCTCAATGTAATGCATCATTTGATTTCTTGACTGCTGCTTACAAATTCTCCCATCTCATTAGAGGCAGGGCTGACATCAGGTACTGAGCCTTGATGTCCTAGTCTGCACACTAGGTTGGATAAACCTGCCAACCAGAAAAGAAGCCTCTCCTCTTGACCTGGCTCACACTCGACCTCGCTCACTAAAGGGAGCAAGTAATTTGCACAGTTCCTCCAACCTAAGAAGCCCTCTTTGCCATAGCTTGTCTATTTTTAACCTCTATAGACGGCCCATTCCCTGCAGACTCTCTCTGACTAACAGACTGCTATGGGATTTAAGACACTCTCCATGGTGTTGCTTGGTGGTTGCCATGCCGACAAAATTAAATGGAAATAGAATGTTTCTTGTAGACTATTCTGGTGGAGGCTTTCAAACTAGATCATAGTGTTGACTGTGGACCTCAAATCAGCTAGGGTACTGGGACTGATTGTGTAAGCACAACAATCTTGTTCAAAGACAAGACTAAGACATGTCCTGGGGAAATTGGAAAGGGTTTAGGAAGCTTGCTCCTTTAAGTATATTTGGAGCACCCATGCCCTCCTTAAAAGGTGGTGTAGCCATGAATTTCAATAATAACCGTCTGTGGGTGAAATGACTTCTTTAATTCCAACTGGCTGCCTCTGACCGCAGGCCATTTACTAGCCCTGCAGGCCAGGAGGAGACCCTCCCAGAGGGTCTTGACTTCACATAGAGGTGCCTTACAGACAGGGACAGAAGTCTTCCCCCAGGCTCCCATGCAGGCCTTTTATGTACCTATTAATGTGTTTGCTTTTAGTCCCTTTGGGGTAGTTGCTTTGGCAAGTTTAATAAGCACAGTTAGAAATGGCTTGAGAACAAATCAAACAGTCCTTAAGCCAAAAAAGGGATCCTGGCTCACAGGTCTATACCTGAGTGGTATGTAGACAGTTAAGGGATTGGTGGGCATCCAAAGGTCTGTAGGTTTGAGTGTACCGAGCAGTACCTTGGGAAGAAAGTTCTGCCAATATCCTTCTGGAAAATCAGCGATTGAAGGCCTGTTTAGCACAGCTCGTGGTTGTGATGAGGGGACCCAGTGGAAGGCAACTGGTAGGCACATATGCCTGTGCAAGGTTTCAGCTGTCAAAGCCAAAACAAAACACTGCTGCTTTATAATAATCAGAACTACTTACAGTTAAAATATAACTGGTTTCTGTCAATAGATCATTGGATTAAAAAAAGATATATCCTTACAATGAACTATTATTTAGCTCTCAAGAGAAATAAAAATCTGAGATCTGCCACGGCAGGGATGAACCTTGAAAACATTGTGCTCAGTGAAATAAGTCAGACACCGAAGGACAAATATCGTCTGCTCCCACTAACACGCAATAGCTATCTAGAGTAGGAAATGCAGAGAGAGAAAAGTGGTTATCAGGGGCTGAGGGGGAAGAGAGGATATGAATTATTGCTGAGGGAGTCCTGAGTTTCTGTCGGAAGTTATGGTAGCACAATGTGGTGAATGTAATTAATGTCACTGGATTGTACAATAAAAAATGGCTCAAAGGAATCTTTTTGTTATATAATATATATATAATCACAATAATAAAAAAGAATAAAATCAGTGTTGAATTGAGTAATAGAAAGCTTCTAATAACAGACACCCTGTAACTGTACAGAAGAACAGGGCAGAAGCTCATTTTTGACAAGAAAATCCAATCATTAATTTTATTTATTTCAGGAGTTGGCCTAGGAGCTTCCCCAAATTGTTTATTCATTTTGACTGCTGAGTCATCCGGGTTCCTCAGAAAGAAACAAACTTGCTTTAAATGCGAATCTCCCCTTCTCCAGGGGAAGGGGGCGCCCCACCCCACCCCACCCCCGCCATGGGGGCTGTGGGGGCCGAGTCTTGTCTTTCTACTAGTTATCCACAACTCACCCGCGCTCTTAGATTCAGTTCTGCCATTCATTTAGTTTGAGGACACTTGGCTGGCAAGACTAGAGTGGGCACCCCAGGTTCGTTATTTGGGGGCGTTCTCTCCCCGTTCAGCTTCTGCCAGCACCTCTTCCAACATGACCAGCCCGGCTTCATCTGCATCCCCGTCCACCCTGCTCGCTCCTCCGTAACTGTCCAGTGCCCAAGGCTTGCCAGGGCCTGCAGAAGCGCAGCGCCCCCGAGGCTGGCACGCTTCCCCCCTGCCTCCCCCCGGAATGCTCCGCGCTGCTTCCCCGTGATGTCAGTGGAATCCTGAGCCAG